CCGGGGCACCGGCAGGGCGGCGGGCGCCGGCGAGGGCAAGGTGGTGTGCAGCAGCCTGGAGCTCGCGCAGGTCCTGCCCCCGGACACGCTGCCCAACCGCACCGTCACCCTGTGAGTAATCCCGGCGCCCCGCGCCGCCGTCCCCTCCCCGAGGTCTCCGCGCGCCGACTCCGCACCCGGCTCTCCGGCATCCGCGCTCCTTTGTGTGCACGGAGCACGGCGGGGTGCTGCTGAGGGAGCCCTGGAGTGCTTAGCTTCGGTACCGTGGGGGACCCAGCGAGCCCAGAGCCCTCCGAGCCTCCTCTACCTCGCTCTAGTTTGCAAAGAAAAGTTTTCGGGGCTCCCGGCCGCGCCCCACGCCGGCCCCGCGGTTGCGCTCAGTGTGGCTGCGCTGTGCCACGTGAGGATGCAAATAAACACTCGCTGGAGGCAGAGTTAAAGCTCATTCATCCTGGGCTCGGAGTTCTGGAAAACACCGTGCAGGCTTAGAAGGGTTCATCCTAGTGTACAGATTTATTTGCACGGTGAACGGTAGAATTTGTAGGACACCCGGACATTGAACGTCCCTGTGATCTCCAGACACGCTGCCGTTTTCCTTCTTAGCTTTAGTGCAGTTTCAGAACAGCTTTTAAGATAGAGTTGTTTAAGATAAAGGGCTAGAAATGTGAGATAAAGTTGGGGAAGTCCCTTCCAGCTCCATTCCCATGTCTGAGAGCTCACGTTGGAAAGCCAGGAACTTCGGAATTGGAAACTGTGTTTGTGAGTGAGCCTGACAACTGTAGAGACTTTTGGTTTTCGCATTGAGTTTCCACCTGCAAGCAAAAACTTTGGTAACTCAACTGTGCTCTACGATCTACGCTGTTCAGTTTTGCAGGCGTAGTTCTTTCTGCCAATTGGAGCTGAGCCGTTGGCCCCAGTGACTCTACATTCGGTCTTCTGAAGGATGAATTGGTTTGGAAAAGTTTAAGATTCAGTGTTTCTAATGGAAATATTGTCAGACTGAAATATGAGTTCCTGGGCGCCGTGTTCCTCCATGTTTTGGTTGGTTTCCTATAAAAGAAAGCTGCCACTATAAAAACAGTAAGGCAAGAAAGAGCATACGTGGTTGTGAAACCGCTTAAAATAGGACTTTTAGTTTACCTCAACTCCACAGGAGGCTATATGGGGAGATAGAAATAGCACCCATAACAACTTTGTCGGCTCATTTCCTTTTTTTTTTTTTTTAAAGGAAAACCGAAGATATGTTTGTTTGTGTTTGTGGAGTTTCATGAAGATGGTTAAAAGCTGGTTTTGTTTTGTTTGACTGCTTTACCCACAGAGTGCCATTTGGTGCTAGCCACAGTCGTATTTACTTATTTCTTGACCAGATGCTTTGAAGTAGAAAGTGTGGGTACCTTACAGTCTGAGTCTAGTAGAGAAAAGCCCAGTGTTGAAGTCCCTTGTAAGTCTGCAAAAATTAGTCATCTTTCTAGTGATGCAATAAATAGGGTTTGGGTCAGCGAGTGCCACTCAAATTCATTCCTGTTTATATCCAGTTTTCCTGAAGTGTCAATTCCAGTGGATAGGATATGAGAACTGTTGATTTTGCTTTGTAGGAAAAAATAGATGATAGTACAGAAAACCGTTTTTTGGCGTTTTATCAATTAATGCACTACGTTTTCCATGAGTGTAACCATGTATGTGCCTTTGCAACGTTGTTTTAACCCCCCTTTTTCTGCGTCTGAAAGCTGTTTAGATGAAAATAAAGTTAATCAAATTAAGCGAATGGGAAGAAATCATTTAAGAATCAACTAAAGCTGCTATTTTGGACGAGGCTCCTTTAGGCTCCTGCTGGTGGGCTTTATGAGGGCCTTCTTCCTTCATTTTACTAGGTAGGGATCAAAAGAACTGTGGATAAGTGGCAGGGCCACAGTGATTGGAGTCTAGGTCCTGGTCCCAGAGTCTTGCCCTTGAGTTGAGATGATTCCCACCATACAGCCTCCATTTGCCGTCTTCATTGTTAGTTTAGAGAAGTTATTGGATGGCTTCTTGGTGAACAGTCTCCCAAGGAGGTTTGAATCTGGCTGCTGCAGGTTGCCACACACTTGGTAGTTGAAACAGTCAGTTTATTCTCCCACAGTTCTGGAGCTCAGAGTCCCAAATCCAGATGTCAGTTAGGCCATGCTCCCTCCACAAACTGCAGGAGAGAATCTTTCCTTACTTCTTTTAGCATCTGATGTCCTTTGTTTGAGATGGGATAACTCGTCTCTGTATCTGTCTTCATCTGGCTTTCTTCCCTGGTATCTTTGTGTCTTAGATTATTATTATTATTTTTCTTTCATAAGCAACAGTCATGAATTGAATTGAGGGTCAACTCTTAAGTTCAGGATCATGTCATGTCAAGGTCTTCATTTTGCCTGCAAAGACCCATTACCAAATAATACCACAAAGGTAGTGGCAGTTAGGACTTGGGCATATCTTTTTTTGTGAAATGCTGTGCATCTCATTGTAGAATAGAATTAAAAACATGATTCAGGGCAGGGGATGTTGTTCAGATGTTCAGCAGTGGCCTAGCGTGTACAATAACTTGAGTCTGATCCCCATCATAGTGAAAACAACAAACATTCCCATTTCTTCTCCAGGAACTTACAGATATTTGGAGAAGAGAATTCATGAATATGTTTTAGGACTGTGTGGTCAATGTTTTATTACTGGGGTGTACATGTAGCAGGAAGAACCCAGAGGAGGACCTTCGGAGCCTTTTTGGAGCATGGTGTGTAGAGGAGCAGTGCAGAGAGCAGTGCTCAGTTAGGACACTGTACAGTTCTGGCGGTGGAATGTTGGGAGTAAGTGTCCAGTGCCCAGGTAGGTGCTCAGAGAAGGGTCCCATTTTGAGATGGGCAGGCTCTTTCTTTTAAATTTTCAACCCTAGTGTGGTCAGGGGTTCTCAGCGAGCTGTGATGTTGCTGTGGAGAGGAAGATGTAATTTGTCGGGGTTTTGAGGATGGCAGGGATAGGATGCTTTTCTCTCTCGTGGTCGGCTTGATGTTGCTGGAGCTCAGACACCTTTCAGCTATGTTTATGAACAGCTTTCATTTCCAGAGTTGCGTTTACCAAAATAAGTTGGGCAGAAGTCTGGCCTGATCACACTTGTTCTCAGGCTCTCTTGAGGACTTGTACTGAGGAATTAAATTGAATTTATTATTTTCATGTACAGATCATACACAAATTACCCACATTTAATACTTTTGCGGAAAAAATTTTAACTATATGCCCATTTTTTATGAAACATTACTCAATATATTAAGTTTTAAAATTTCGGAGACCGTCATTGGTAGAAAGTTTTGCAGATTTAGCTCTTTTCCACGTGTCTTCCTCACGGTGCTACCCGACAATTCTAGAAAAAGAAATGGTTTAGAAATTTTCATTTGCTGGGGAACTGAAGAGTGAAGTCCAGGATTTTCTCAGACTGATAAAATAGTGTATGAGTTTGAGTTTTTAATTACATAAAATGCTGTTTGTTTGCTGTCACCTGATAACTAGTTAGCTGTCTCCAGTGGGGCCCAGTGTCAAGGTCAGGAAAAGGAATGCTTGCATTATTCAGGAACTTAAATATTGTTGGAAAGGAAGGATTGGACAACATCAATGAGACATTTAAAGTGCAGTTAAAGAATGCCTGTTACTATTCAGTAAGTCCAACACAGCAGACTTTTTCCATGTTTTAAAGGGAGAATTCTGGGGAGCTATAGATTCTCTGGAAGATATTTTTTTCTTTTTTGGGGAAAAGTAAGGATTTGAGTGTGGACTGAAGAAAGGAAATATTGGATTAGAGGACAGAGGACATGTTGGGTGTAAAGGGGGATTGCTGGACCAGCTGGGTCCAGTGCTGGGTCACTGGTGGTGAGCTAGCTTTGGGACACCTGCCTGTTTGGGGTGGTTGGGAGAGAGACCGGAAGGAGGAGGGGTCCAGGCAGAAACTTAGGAGATCTGGGAGCTAGGGTTTCTTGGAAAGGGGACCCTGCTGGAGCAGCCTCTGAGTCTGAGGGAGCAAAGGGAGAGTTGGTCCTGAAAGCCCAGGGAAGTTCCCATTTCCAGGTGGGAGAGGCTGCCTGGTAGAGAGATGCGGAGATCATGTGTCTGCAGACCAGAGGTAGTCTTTGACACCTGAGAGTTTAAGGGCTCTTCCACAGTAGTGTCCATACCACACAAGTGAAAGGTGCCAGGCTGGGTGGCTTGAGGGGCCTGGGAAGGGTGGAGATGGCATATGCATAAGGCAGGAGTTTAATGTGAAAGGAAGCAGTAGAGTGCAGTATTGGGAAGGTTTGTTTCTCCTGGGAAATGAGAGAGTGCCTCTGAATAGAACTGGCTACAATTCCCCAAAGAGGGAGGAGTGGTGGAAGAGATGGGATGGAACTGAGCCTGGGTGAGCGTTTGGCTTTTCATGGCAGGAGGGACTTTTCCTCCCTACAGAGTGATAGGAGACTAGGTGGAACCAGACATATGGGAGCAGGGGGGCAGTGGGCGGTGGGCTGTGATGGGCATGGGATGGGCCCCCTCTGCATTGCTTCTGTGTTCTCAAAGATAGACAGGATGAGGGAGGAAGGTGGGAAGAGGCCGTACAGGGGAGTGGAATGGTTCTTGTGCAAAGTGAGTGTACTGGGAATTACATAAAGGTCAGCAGGGTGGAGATGGTCCGTTCTTGCCCTGTGATCAGGCTCTAACTCTAAAGGAACTAGCCAGCCCTTGCTTTCCCCAGCTGTGTTCACCTGGAGCAGCAGCTCCTTGTGGGAAGGTAGCAGTTTGCTCTCTGGCCAGGTGAGCACAGTCGAGGGAGCACAGGAGTGATTTTAATAAGACCCAGCCATCAACCTGCTGTGCCTGAATTCTTCCAGAGAGCTGCTAGGTAGGGCTGTTTCCCTTGAAGTCAAGAATTTACACGCTTTTGGAGCCTGTTTTCCCTATATTCAGCACAGGTTATTTTTCCTTTCCATGATTACTTTCTTGCAGGCATGGTGTTGAGTGCTGGATGCTTCGGGAGACGGGCTGTTTTCCTCCAAGGGTCAGGCTTGAAACATTCAGCGTTCAGCAGGATGGAAATGTGTTCATTTTTACCTTGCACTTTCTTCCTAGGC